GAGCACATCAGCTATCTTGTTTTCCGTAGGAATGTAATGAACTGTAACATCCTTCTTCTGCAATCGTTCTCGGACAAAATGATGAATTGTATCCATATGTTTAATCCTAGAATGGAAGACAGGATTTGTACTCAATGCTAATGCAGAGATATTGTCACAATGTAGTGAAGGTGGACAGTCTAAAAATTCATGTAAATCTCTGAGAATATTGTGAATCCAACATATATCAGCAGTGCAGTTAGCTCATTATACTCAGCCTCAGTTGAGCTTCTTGATACTGAGGGCTGTTTCTTTGATTGCCAAGGTATGGGATTATCACAAATGAAAACTACATATCAGTAATTGAACGCTTTAGGTTAATATCAGCTGCCCAATCAGCATCCGAATATCCATGAAATTGAGTGACAGATGGCATATTCAATTTTAATGGTTGTTACTTGTCAGGATATTTCTTCCCTCTCTTATTCTCAATATTAGGCACCTCATGAGGAATCAGCTCCGCTGTTACTTTCCAGTAATGTCTGTCAGCTTCTTTGTGGAACTTCTCTCGGTTGGCCACGTACAGAGGCACAGAAGGTCAAATTCATGTCTCACATATGAAGCACTGATGGTGATTGCAGAATGCATGCATGTACAAGCGAGCAAGGGAGAGGGTGGGAGGGTAATAGAATTAGGATTACTAAAGAGGTAGAAGATGATGGGAGAATTACTACCTTCTCCCTTTCTCTGTTGTGAGCTTTGTTGGTTTCACAACTGAGCTTCCGTTTCTCATAGAAGGCCCGCTTAAATTCCTCAGCTTCCTCGATAATCTGGACTGCATGCCTTGACGCAAAAAGGTCAAATCAAAATATTTCAATGCGTCAATCAGTGCAGATGAAAACAGATGAAAAGAAATAAGGCATAATTTTTATACACTCATTCATTTCGTTTGGTTAACCAGCTAACGACTAAAACCAATAATGCAGAGACCTAGGATTCACTATGTTCTGAGGCTCTCAGCTAACCATACAAGGAACTCCAATGTCTGTTAACCAAAAAGGTGCGAATATCTACACGATGGAAAGATAGCAACAGAAAAAATTAGTATAAAATGTTGCATAGCGTTCTACAATGGAATGAAATATGGGAAAAGCTAGTGCTTCGAACCCCATATTCCCGAGAGAAACAATATAACCAGCTAACACGGAATCCATTGGCAATTCAACGACATCTAGTTTATATCCAGTGAAGCAGAAGTGAATCTTAGGTTCCTTTTAAAGACTGGAGGAGCGATTGCAATCCATTTTATATGGTGGTCTGTGACTTGCCATGAATTCCCATAGCAACGATTGGAATCAGCTAACGAAAAAATTCAAATGGGAAAGATGAAACAACTTATGCAATGATTCAGTCAAAGATCTAAGCTAATTTTCCCCATTCCAAATTTACTCACACAAAAAAATCACACAGTTAATGCTATTTACCGGCATAACCCAGTACCAAATACAGGGGCAAAGCTCAACATCATTAATTCAGACCCCAAATTAAGAATAATAGGTAATGAACATAGAATCACAGATACAAAAATCAAATTAGACTAGATGTTATTAATCCCCTGAATCCCATGCATGCACATTGCACAACATTATTAAAACACATTTTAAATCCAACTTAATCAAATAATTGATGTAATCGTGATATAAAGTTGTGGTTGTGCATTTAGTGACTTGCTTATACTTGTGAATAAGATTTTATTAAGGTGTTGGACTCTTGTGATAATAGCTTGGAGCTGTGCTTTAGCTCTGGAATTCAGGTAGGGGAAGTACGATAAATTTTTATGAAGATTGGCTTTATTAAATTAGGAAAACTAATGAAAAGGACTTGAAAATTTTGAGTTTTAATGATAAAGACAAAATAAAGGATAAAGTGAATAGTACCATGATTGACTTTTTAGTGTAAAAATGTGATTTTTCATTAACCGGAGCTTTTCGCTAAAGTTCCCTATTAACCTTAGTGAAGTGTTATATTATTGTTGTTGATCTTACTAGTTGATTAATGTGATGTGGTGCTACTTGGATAAATGCTTCTCTTGAGTGTTTACTTATTATTAGTTATGGAATTATTGATGAAGTGCTATTCGTTAAGAATATACTATGACACATGTGAAAGATGAAATGACATTATTTGTGCATCACTCATGTTGTTTAGATCTAGTTGGAACTTGAGTGTTGAGATTAGAAATTTGAAAATGAGGATAGTTGGAAAGCATCTTTTGTGCAATTACTCTTAGTTTGGGATTGGCGACGAAGGATTTGACAAGACGACTAACAAAAGGCGAAATTGGGATGATTGAGTTGTGGGGTTAGTTCGTATAATTAGTTGCTCGGGACCAAGTGGTATAAGTACGGAATGGATGTACGAGGTCTTGGTGTTTAGTTATACGAATTAACGGGTATAGACGAAGATTCTGCATTGCATTCTGCATTGTAATTAATGATGAAATGATAATTGACTATACGATGCCATGACACTTAATTTAAGATTTGTCAATTTACTGTGGTAAAATTATGTCCCTACTGATCTTTTGAAGCTCGTCTCTCTATTGTTATGTAGGTGTACAAACTAAGTGATCAAAATGATAGACGAAATGAGATTGAATTAGATGTAATGTTAGAATTTGTATTTATTTATTTTTAGCCTCGCAAATAATTCTTGATTCTTTTATAAGAGTAATTTTATTTCTCACCTCGTTTCAGTTTCTATAGTTTCTCTTTATTTTATTTTTATTTTTTAGCTTGCGCACCGAATTCTGGTTTTTCCATCAACCTTAGGTCCGGGGCATGACAACCCGCCTTGGCAAGTCTCGTCACCTTTCTTAATTTTCAAAGGCCTGGAGATTAATCAGCACAGTCCAAGTGGCTCTAGGCGGTGATTTAGAACAGTGATGGTCACTCATAATTCGATCTTAGTTTAGCCATAAAGAAAAATGTATAAGAACAAAAGTTAAGTAACCACTCTGGATGCAAATTTTGTACAAGGCTAAACTGATGAAATCAAACCTGCAAAATAACAAACACTGTTAGCCTGATTGACGAACACCAAGAAATATGGGAGGGTGTTCGGCAAGGGACCTCTTATGCTTAAGTCAGAAAGATAGTTTGGGAAAAAACTATAAACTAGAGAGAGTTTTGGGTATTAAGTGGCGATGATCGTTTTCCTGTTTGACTTGGCTACTTATAGATCTAACCATGGTAGGTAGCCAGGCAAGGAGGTTGCAAGCCATACTAGGCAGACATTAACTTTTTGGTCGTGATGGAGCAAGCTAGTCTATGTAGTCCTGCCAACTAGTAGTTTTGAAGGTCCTTGTTAGTAAGAACACATGCGCGCTGGACACCAAAGGGGAGACTCCGAAGAGTCCACTTTCTATCCCCATTGGATTGAGTTTGGATTGGTGGTAGGAATATCATGAGCCTGAAGCACCTTTGATACGTTGATGGCCAAAGGCCTAATACTCACTTGGCAGACAGGTGCCACGATCCCTCATGGAGGGCAGACAGGTGCCACGTTATTGGGAGTGATTTGTGGTTTGCTCACGACATCAAGTGTAAAACTGTCATAGCGAGTATACAGTTCACGTGTCCTTCTCTTATTGGAAGTGGTTAAATTATGTCTCCACAATCATGAGAAATTTTTAGTTGTGACGGGAATAGAAGTGGTACACCACGTGTTTTAATAGAAGTGGTGGAAAATTTTATTTTTTAAGTTATTAACTTTTTAGCATACATATCCCACCATTTGTATAGTGACACGTGATGTACCACTTTGTGCACCGATTACACTGAAAAATCTCTCACCACAATCACCTACTGATGAATTAACATCGAACAGTTAGTGGTCACAATGTTCTTGGACTATGAGTCTAGAAGAATGTGACTCCTCTCTATGTTTTAAATATGTACTTTTTATTTTTGTTACTCATCGCCAATAGACCGTTGCCACGTCGAGAAGATATTTGTAAGAAACAAAAATGCTTTAGCAGGGATGGAGACAAAAACATTTTTAAGCGAGGTCAACTTTTTAACAATTGATAAGATAGAAAATTCTACATGTAATGGTATACACACAAATTTAAGATATTCATTCACAATATTTTCTCCTTGAGTCAATTTTCATGTATTAAAGCATGCATAAGCAAATTTTAGTCATATGCCCTGCCCAGACTCTCTTTTTGTGCTGTGTTGGTGTTGACTGTTGAATGAAATATATATCCTCCATTGCTCTCAAAAAAAGGGTATATATATGCATAAGATTAAATTAGTTCAACCTCGACCTACTAACTAAATCAGTTCAACCTCGACCTACTAACTAAATCGAAAATGCTCCACAGAACGTTTCATTTACTATATATTCGTTGTGTAAAAAGCACTCACAAAATGGCAAGGTTTATATACCTTTACGCCAGATAGACTATCTCGTCCATGGCACTTTGAATTATTTTCTGGTTTTCTAATTTCTCTAAATAGTTTAAAGGGCAAAACGAATATTTTAAAGTGTTGTTTTAAGGGTGAGTTGAGCAGTACTGGGAGTGACTAGAAGCTCCCAGCTTTAAAAGTCACTGCAATTCATCTTAACAAAGAAAATTAAAGATGACTCTAATATATTCTTTGGTTAATTCGCAGACAATCAAAAGAACCATTTAAAACTTTGGTAACACGTATTGAAGAAAGTTGAGGTTCTACCATAAAACCGACAATATGAGGAATAGCCTAATTACTTATAAGCACATACAAAATCTCTTCATCCATCAATATAGAATTTATTCTCAAAACGAATGGTCGGACAAATTAGCTATAGAATAAAGCAAAGGAGACAGACTTGAGCAAGGTAAGTATAAATGTCTAATTCATTGTTCGATCTCTCAAGTTTCTTAATTAATTCCATTCGGAATATATCTGTGTGTATGTAAGGTTCCAATAACATATAACACAATCTCTGGATGCGGAATTGTGTGTGTGTGTGTGTGTGTGTGTGTGTGTGTGTGTGTAAGGTTCCAATAACATATAACACAATCTCTGGATGCTGCATCAAAGCTGGATCATCATGCAGGTGAGTTTCTCCTACCAATACAAATTTTAGATTGAAATTTCTGCTGTTTCTATTTTTTATTTAAGTTATTTAGAGATAGGCTCTTACCACTCTTATTTCTTTAGCCAATCTCTGGATGCTGCATCAAAGCTGGATCATCCTGCAGGTGAGTTTCTCCTACCAACTGCGTACAAATTTTAGATTGAAATTTCTGCTGTTTCTATTTTTTATTGAAGGTATTTAGAGATAGGCTCTTACCACTCTTATTTCTTTAGCATAAGCCCACTTTTTAAAATCATCCAAATAAAACCCAAATCAAATAAGATACCATGTAGACAAATAAGTGACCTATTATTACAAAAAATTTACAGCTTATGTAACAAAACTTATAAGTTACAAACTGAAAGTCAAAATGTCATTAGGTGCATTTTAGCTGGCACTGAAAATACAAATTGGATGAAGTCAAACTTAATTAACGAATTTGCTTAATTTGAGCTCATTAGGTTTTTGTTAGAAAAAAATATGAGCGTTTTGATATAGACGTCTCGTTTTTCAATTTCATTGATTAAACATATGTTTATTTTAAGAGTTTGATTAAACATTTTCCCTACAAATTTAGTGACTAATTTCATTTTATTAGAGGTTCAGTTTTACACTTTTTTTTAATATAATTTTTCATGAAATTGTTTGCTACCCACCTTAAAAAAAATTCTCGTTATATTTTAATTTTCCTTTTTCTTGTCCTTTTATTCGTTTACCTATGCATTTTTTATTATAGTTATATGCATCTCTCATTGTGGCGATTTTAGATTTTTTTTATTATTTATTATAATATTTATTTTAGTGAATTAAATAGAATGTTCAAAACTCATTGTCACATACATAAACATAGTAAATGTACGTTTGGTTGTATGATCATTTGATTGTATTGGTAAGTTTGATTACTTATACTATGGGTACATTTGATTTTATACATTTGGATTTCTGGTACATTTTGTTTCTTGTTACATTTAGAGTCTAAACGTATCAAAAGTCAATACTTTTATTTTCAAATGTACAATAAGTTTTAAATACATTTTTTTTATATAATTATACGTAAAATTTAACGAATCAATGTTCTTATTGTAGGCCTATTTTACTGAACAATTATAAGGGACACAGAGAACACGTGGTAGGCGGCACAGAGGGAGAGAAAGAAAAGATGTAATTGTGAGGTGTGTTTTAAATATTAAAAAAATTAAATTCCAAGGGGTAAAGTCATATTTTCAATTTTTATTATGGTAATAAAATTTTTGTTCTTGTTAATATATGATACAGACTAGAGTAGGCGAGTCACATTTGAAGTTGAAAAGAGTTGACGATGACAGGCTCAGCTGGTGAGAGCAACGCAAAAGCTGATCACTCCGTAATTCAAGTAGGAAAGGAGGGAGAGAGAAGTGGGAGAGAAATAAGTCATATGGGTAACCAAGGTTGGAGCAGAAACGAAGAAATTGAAGACGAATTAGCGTCATTGATAGAAAAAAAGCTTCCCAAGAAATCAACAGAGCCAGTTCATACTTGCGTATTTAGAGTCCCCACCAAACATTTCAGGGAGAATGAAAATGCTTTTTTCCCACAAGCGGTTTCAATCGGGCCGTATCACCACCAAAGAATAAAGTATCAAGGCATGGAACGAACTAAGCTACGGTATTTGCGTTCCCTCCTCGATCGCAAACCAACTCCAGATACCAGTTTGGGGAAGTTTGTCAAAGAAATTAGAAGCAGAGAAGAGTTTCTTCGTAACTGCTATGACGAAAAGTTTGATCTGAGTAGCGATAATTTTGTAGAAATGATGGTGGTCGATGGTTGCTATATTTTAGAACTTCTCCGCAAGCGAAGTTTCTGTGTGCCAGGGTGGTTCTCCACATTTAAAAACGACTTGTTGCTGCTTGAAAACCAGCTTCCGTGGCAAGTTCTCGACTGTTTATTCAACCTCACAAAAACATCACAAGAGGTTTCTCTATATCAACTTACCAAGGGCCTTTCCGGAATGAAGCATAGTCCCTTGGAGAAATGTGTTATGAGAAATTTACTTGACGCAGTAAGAAATTCGCTTGTTGGATCATTGTTGAACACAAGGTCTTATGATGTAGATTGGACTCCTATTCCCTCAGTGACACTTCTCGAGGAAATTGGAGTCAAATTTCGAAGTGCATCCAATGACAGAGATCTGTCGGACATAACCTTCAAATTGGAAAATGGAGTGATGGAAATTCCGTATGTGATGATTCGATCCAACACAGAATCCCTGTTCAGAAACCTCATAGCCTACGAACAGTGTCTGGACAGCTTTGACAAATGTGCCGTTTTGTCTTACGCCATGCTATTGAATCAGCTTATCAAGTCTGCCAAAGATTTAGACTCCCTCATTCAGAAAGGAATTATAGACACCGAGTTGAGCGAGGAGGACACTGTTTGTTTCTTCAATAGGCTTCGCTATAGCACTGAACGCATAAATTTCTTTTACTCTTCCCTCGCCCGGCAAGTGAATGAATGTTACCGTCGTCGCTGGCTAAGGCGTTGGTTTGCAAGGATCAAAAGGGATTATCTATACAATCCAAAGTCAATCTTGTCTCTTTTCTCAAATGCGGTCATCCTTGCTCTCATTCTTACCGTCTTGCAGACTGTATATGGTATTCTCGCCTACTACAAGCCGAATTAGTAACCTTCCAATTGGTCAATGTTCACCCAAGGACCTAAAAATAAACAAAGACTTCTGTGACTGCAGGCAAAGTTACGAAAGAATGAAATTCTTTGAGTTTGTATTTATTTGCTTATTTTTCTTGTAAAATAAAGCAGGAACGTAATTGATAGTTTGATAATTATTGTAAGGACACAATTGGTTCTTACTCCCTGAATTGTGTGTAAACAAAAGAGCATGTGTAATTTCAAAAGGCTAAAATATAAATGTGAAAACACTGAATTCAATAGAGGTGGTTTTGCTTACAAGCGAGCAAGGGAGAGGGAGGGAGGGTGAGAGAATCAGGATTACGGAAGAGGTAGAAGATGATGATTTTAGAACTACTACCTTCTCCCTTTCTCTGTTGTGAGCTTTGTTAGTTTCACAATTGAGCTTCCGCTTCTCATAGAAGGCCCGCTTAAATTCGTCAGCTTCCTTGATAATCTGGTTCCGCATCTCCCTCTCTCTGTTTTCCTTTTCCTCTACATGGATGACATTTAGACTGCATGCATTGACGCAAAAACGTCAAGTCAAAATATTTCAATGCGTTAATCAGTGCAGATGAAAACAATTGAAAGAAAGCAAGGCATAATTTTAGTAGACTCGTTTCTTTTAGTTTACCAGCTAACGACTAAAACCAATAATGCAGAGACCTAGGATTTCACTATGTTTCAGGCTCTCGGCCAACCATACATACAAGGAACTCCAATGTTTGTTAACTAAAAAGGTAGGAATATCTACACGCGGGATGATCGCAATAGAAAAAATTACTATAAAACGTTGCTTACCGTACTACAATGGAATGGAATCTGGGAAAAGCTAGTGCTTCGAACCCCATATTCCCGAGGGAAACAATATAAGTAGTTAACACGGAATCCATTGGCAATTCGACACATCTAGTTTGTATCCAGTGAAGCATAAGTGAATCTTAGGTTCCTTTTAAAGACTAGAGGAGCCATTGCAATCCATCTTATATGGCTGTCTGCGACTTGCCATTCATTCCCATAGCAACCATCGGAATCAGCTGACGAAAAAATTCAACAACTTATGCAAGGATTCAGTCAAGATCAAAGCTCATTTTCCCCATTTCAAATTTACACACACAATACTCAGACACAGTAAATGAAGTATACCGGCATAACCCAATTATCAAATACAAGGACAACTTTAATTCAAAATTTTTAATCTTTGATAATAATATGATTTCAAGCCAACAAATTAGGATCTGAGCTCACCGACGCCACTCACCGCGAGCAAAGCCTTCCTCTCGCATCTCCTCAGGCGGAGGCAGCACCGGCTCACTAGAGGCGAAAATGTCCCCGTCATCATCATTGCCGCCACCGCCTACGCCATTGTCCTCGGGTACCGCCGAATCAAAAGGTGACACGAATTCCGGATTAGGGGTGGAAACGCCGAAGCCGTGTACCTCGGGGGACTGCTGCTGCTGATTAACGTTGGCGCTGTTGTCACCACGGGGGAGAACGATGTCGTCCTAGAAATCAGAGTGGAGGGGAGGGGGAGGGTCGACGGCGGAAGAGGAGAAGTCGTCGTCGTGGTGGGTAGCGATGTTGATGGAGGAGTCGTAATTTTGGGAAGGGAGGCCGGGGTCGTAGCCCATATAGGCATCGTCGTCGAAGGGCTGGGCGGTAGGGGAGTGGCGGTGGGGTTCGTGGGATTCGTCGGCGTTGGGAAAGGAGTCGAAGGACGACATGGTTGCTAGGGGAAACTAGCTAGATTAAAAATGAGGATTAAAGAGTTAATTAATTGTAGTTATGGCCTTAATCTTGTTTTGATTAAGTGAGATGGGCGTGTTCGGATCGAGGAACAGTGCATGGCCGTGGATGATTATCTCTCTCTGAATTACTGCTACGTGCGAGGGAACTAACCATAATTGTTGGTGCAATAGGGAGCACCAGACACTTGGAGTGTATTAATATTGCATGATAATTTAAAAGAAAAACTAACGAAAAGTTCAAAAATATTTTAGTTTTAATGAAAAAAAATAAATAAAAATGAACAGTATCTGAAGTAATTTGATAAAACTCTCAAATTTAAATCGTCTATTTTTAAGTGAGTCTATAAAATATTATTTCTGTAAAAAGATAGTTAAACCTGAAAAGTCACCAATGTATGCACATATCACCATTTGTGATAATGTATTTTCACCGAATAAAATCAACTATCGAAATCGTTTAATTTATTAATCATTAGTTGAAGATTACTCTGAAAAATAGAAGGTAATGCTAGGTAGACCAAAACTTTAAACCAAATTTTATGAACTAAATAATGTGGTTGTTAATGATTAGATTATTACTTAAGTGTTGATTAACGTGCTTATTTTCTTTTGGTGACACATTATTTGGTTTGCAAATTTGGTTTAAATATTCAAATTGGAGATCGTTTGGTCATCTAAATGTATCAAATAAATGGACGGTTCATCATAAGCATGTTGCTTAGTACCTATACTGTCGATTTGTTCTATACATTTTAATGACTCAATGATATCTAATTAAAATGATTTTTTGTATGGATGATCTTTAAAAGAAGATTAAGAAATTGGACACTTCAAATTATGAAATTTATACGGTCAAGATACGTTATTCGTATAAGGCAATGAGCTCATCCCCAAACGTAGGAATGCAAGTATTATCCAATCTGAAATCATTTTGTTTAGATGGTTATCCAATAAACACATGAATCATGTATCTCACTTACACACTCATATAGTTAGAATTAGTCAATATTTTGAGTTCGTTGATTTTCTTTTTGTTGCAAAGTTGATCTTTAAATGATAATTTAAAAGGTGCACCGGTTTCGATGATCAAGTATTGCAAGATAAAAAAGAGAATAAAAAGGTAAAACATAAAGGTCTAGTCGAAATGGTGTTATTTTGTAAATGTAATTTTGTTAATCCTATTAGGTGTATTTTCTAAATGGGCATGTGTAATGATCTTGAGTGTACATGTGTCACAATCTTGTAGCTTGCGTTAGTTAGAAGCTTACTTAGTCATTAAGTTTTCCTAGCTACTATAAATAGCTAGAAGGTCAACACTTGTAAGAACTTTTGCTGAAATGATATTTTGCTCTCATTCTTTCTCTCTCTAGAATTTTTTGTTCTTCATTTCTTAATTCTTAAGTCTCTGTAGAAGTGTTAATATGGTATTAAGAGCCTAGGTTCTTTGTGAATCATGAGCTTGAAGGAGAAGCTTGATCAAGATTCAGCAGTCAAGGTTCTGCAACGATCGTGATCTTCTAGCGATCATTTGTAAGCAACGATTCTAAGTAGAGTTATCAATAATCAGCTTCGTGCTGAAGAGTTTCTCTCTCTAGAAATTATCGATAATCAGGTTTTGTGTTCTTTTCTTGAGATCTGAGCAGAGGTTGTTTTTTAGGTGCGAAGTAGATATCTAGTGATTTCTTGAAGAATTTTTTGTGGCACGAAGCCTTTATTCAATGAATTGTTGATGAATATGGAAGAATCTTGGAAATTACTGCAATTGAATTGTGATTTATGGTAAATCTTGATGAATTGTGAAGTTTTTGTACTGGAATTAAGCAGTAGATTGAGTTTTTGAAAAATAATTGAATTTAGGGCACGAAGCTCTGTTGCTTATGCAAAGAAATTTGAGCACGAAGCTTGCATCTGTAGTCAAATTCTGGAAAATAATTGAAGTTCAGGCACAAAGCTTTCTCTTGTTTGTTGATTTCATTCAGCACGAAGCTGTTGGTTTGTGAATTTTCTGTGGCATGGAATTCTTGCTTGTGATATTCTAATTGAATTAATACGGTTGTTAGCTATGGGTTCTACATCTGCGAAGATTGATGGATTGCTTGGAATGTTGACTATCTGATTTCATGATGATAACTTTGCAAAGTGGTCGTATCAATTTCGGTCTGTTCTGGAAGGTTATGATCTATTTGAGTACTTTGATGGAACAAGTGTGTGTCCACCTAAGTATGTTATTTCACTTGATATTGGTGTTACTAAGGAAATCACTGAGGCATATAAATTATGGATTAGAACTGATAAGGCTCTACTCAATCTCTTGATTGCAACTCTGGGAGATGAGGCAATTGAATATGTTGTGGGAAGTAAAACTACCTATGAAGCTTGGACACATCTTAATGATAGATATGCTACGGTGTCTTGAGCTAGGGTCAATCATTTGAAGACAGAGCTTCACATAATTAAAAAGGGCACAAATACAATTGAGAAGTATCTCTTGAGACTTAAACATCTCAAAGATCAATTGCTAGCTACAGGGGAGGTAGTGTCTGACAATGATTTAATTATGGCAGCATTAACAGGGTTACCATCTGAGTATAATATGATCAAGACTGTAATTGTGGCAAGAGAAACTCCAATTACTCTTAAGGAATTTCGTGCACAACTGTTAAGTGTTGAGAGAACTGCTGAAGATTCACCTAGTTCTGTTTCATTTCCTATGTTTGGCATGTACTGTGAATGAGAATCATCCACTACTGGAGTTACAAGGTCGATCTATCAAGGAGAGTCTTCAAGAAATGGTGAAAATAGACAGATGTATCTCGGAGAATCCTAAACTCAGAATGGTAATCATTGCAATTGAAGTACTGGTTTTGTTGGTCAAGTTCAAAGGTCATCTGGAAACTACAATGGTAATAATGGTTCTATGGGGCAAAATCAAAGGCCATTTGGAAATACTGGAGGTTACAAAAGTGGTCAACAATACAACTTCAACAGGAACATAAACAAATTCAGGCCACGATTTAATGGAGGTTATTCTGGGAATAGAAACAATAGTGGTTTTTCTGGATCATCAAGAGGTTATCAGTCTAAGAATGGATCTTTAGGTGGTAGTTCTTCTGGATCTTGATTTAATTAGAATGGAAATTCTGGACAAAAGTCAAGTGTAATTCTTGAATGTTAAATTTGCAGCAAACGTGACCATATTGCACCGAATTGTTTCTATAGAAATGAGCAGCAACCTTGGTTTGGTGGTTGAATTCCAGAGTGTCAAATCTGTGGGAAGTGATGGCATATCGGCTCTCAATTGCTATCGCATGGGCAATTATACATTTCAAGGTACATCTCCACCTCAGTCACTTACTGCTATGAATGCAAGTGCATCATCTGACTTCAATGCTAATCAAGCATGGATTATGGATACTAGTGCAACACACCACATGACAGGGGACATGGCTGATTTAAACATGATCACACCTTTTGAAGGAGATTAAACGATAACTGTGGGAAATTGAGAGTGTCTTCCAGTGAAAAATACTGGTTTAAACTCTATCACCACTACTTCTAAACCTTTACATCTTTTAACTGTCCTCCATGTTCCTAAGTTAGTTGCCAGTTTGCTATCTGTTTACACATTATGTAAAGATAATCAATGTTATGTCATTCTTGATGAGTTTGAATTTTGGGTGTAGGATAAGGCAACAAAGACAATCTTAATGAGAGGAAGAAGTAATGGGGGCTTGTACTACATTCATAAGCAATTATTCTACAACTACAATAATTTGCTGCATTAATCACCAACAACTTTTTTGGGACAGGTGGTCAAGACTTCAATGTGGCATCATAGACTAGGACATCCTAGCAATAAGATTCTACATAGTATGCTTTCTCACTCTAAGATTCCTTGTAAGTCTGATGTTGATAAGCATGTGTGTAGTTTCTGTTTACAAGGAAAGATATTAAGACATATGTTTTCTACTAGTTCTTATGTCTTTGTAAAACCCTTTGAAAGAATAAGTAGTGATGTTTTTTTAAGTTTGGAGTACATCCAGAATTGAAAGGTCTTATAATTGTTGGCACAGCAGTTTATCCTTTTCTTAGACCCTACAATTCTAGCAAATTGGATGTTAGAACTGATCAATGTACATTCTTGGGTTATGCATTTGGGATACAAAGGTAGTGTGTGTTATCACCGAATGAAGAAGAAGTTGTTTATTTCAAGACATGTTATGCATGATGAAACTGTGTTTCCATTTATGGATAAGTTTGTCCATTCTTCTTTACATCAGTCATATAGTCATTTTAACAAGCATCCTATACTTGTTCCAATTATTATACCTTCAGTTCCTAGTTATGTTCAGTCAAGTGGAAATAGTATGGACTCTTTCATTAATGGGCAGAACACATCGTTAGGCAGTATTCATCACATTGGTGGTTCTAGAAGTAATGAGCAGTATATTAGTTCTCAAGGTCATTCATCATCTGGGAATAGTTTTCCACATGTTCAAAATGATGATTTTTTTGTACAAGATTCCCCGTAGCATCATTCTTCCTCTCAAACATCAAATGCTTTGTTGCCTGTCCATAGTTCTACACAATTAGAGGTAAATCTCTCTCTTGATCCAAATATTGATTCAATTGATAATGTCAATTCTGATTTATTTATGGTATCTTCAAGTCATCCTATGACAACTAGATTGAAGTCTGGTGCCATCTCTAGGAAAAAATTATAGTTCATATCTTGCATCTAATGATGATTTCTCTGAGACAAATGCTAGTGACTCTGTTGATGTTAGGTTCAAGGGTTACACTGCAGTATTATCTATTCATAATTCAATTGAGCCTACTACTTTTAGAACAACAGTTGTACATAAACAGTGAAGGAATTCTATGTTATAAGAGTTTACAACTTTACCAAACAGGGAACATGGGAGTTGGTTCCACCACCAGTTGATAGGAATATGATAGGAAGTAAGTGGGTTTATAAGATTAAGAAGGATCAATATGGCAAGATTTCTAGATACAAGGCTTGCTTAGTGGCTCAAGGCTATAGTCAAGAACATGGGTTAGATTATGATGATACATTCAGCCCTGTTGTACGACACACCACTGTAAGACTTGTTCTTGTTATTGCTGCTTCACAGAGGTGGAAATTACGCTAGTTAGATGTAAAGAATGTGTTTCTGCATGGTGATCTTCAAGAAGAAGTGTTCATAAAGCAACCACAAGGGTTTCATGATCCTAATCATCCTTAGTATGTTTGTAAGCTTGTTAAGTCTCTATATGGACTTAAACAAGCTCCTCGAGCCTGGAACTCCAAATTTACCACATATCTACCTACTTTGGGATTTGTGGTTTCGGAATCCAATCCTATTTTGTTTGTTAAAGCTCTTGACAATGAAGTTATGATTCTTCTCTTATATGTGGATGACATAATTATCATAGGTTCACAACCTGTGTTAGTGCAAGAAATCATTGATTGATAAGTTTGAAGAGGTGTTTGATAGGAAAGATATGGGATTGTTGACATACTTCTTAGGTCTTCATATTACTTACAAGGATAATGGGGATTTATTGATATCCTAGTCTAAGTATGTAAAAGATCTACTTCACAAGGCATCTATGGATTCTTGTAAACCATGTTCCACTCCCTGCAAGCCACATACTCAGTTGTTTAAAGATGAAGGAACACTCTTACTTGATCCTACTCTATTTTGCAGTCTTGTTAGGGCCTTACAATACCTTACATTTGCATGTTCTGACATTGCTTTTGCAGTTAATTATGCTTGTCAGTTCATGTCTACACCAACATATTTGCATTTTGCCTTGGTGAAAATGATTATGCGTTATTTACAAGGCACTATGAACTGTGGTCTCACATTTTCTACTATTGATTCTATAGAATTCACTACCTTTAGTGATGCTGATTGGGCATCGGATGTAAACACTAGAAGATCAATGACTGGCTTCGTGGTATTCTTAGGTCCAAATCCCATCTCCTGGCAATCAAAGAAGTTAGGGAATGTTTTCAGAAGTTCAACTAAAGCAGAATATAAAGCTTTAGCTAATGCTATTGCTGATGTAGCTTGGATATGTTTGATTCTCAAGGATTTGCATGTCTTCTTGTCCTCTCCTCCACTTATCCATTGTGACAATGTTTTGACACTTGCTTTGTGTTCTAATCCGGTTTTTCACACTCAGATAAAACACCTTGATACATATTTTCATTTCGTTCGAGAACGAGTTCAGAAGGGAGATTTAGTCATTGAGTATATTTCTACAATTGATCAAGTGGCAGACGTATTGATCAAAGGTCTTCACGGTCCCTTATTTTTGCAGCATTGTTCCAATCTCAAACTGGGATACCCCAATTAAAATTGAGGGGGGTATTAGCTGTATTTTCTAAATGGACAGGTGTAACAATCTTGAGTGTACATTTGTCACAATCTGGTAGCTTGGGTTAGTTAGAAGCTTGCTTAGTCATTAAGTTTTCCTAGCTACTATAAATAGCTAGAAGGTCAACAGTTGTAAGAACTTTTACTAAAATGATATTTTGCTCTCATTCTTTCTTTCTCTAGAATTCTTTGTTCTTCATTTCTTAATTCCTAGGTCTCTGTAGAAGTGTTAATAAATCCAACCTTGGATGCAATTTGCATCCACAAGACTCATTTCTAGTCAGAATTATGTTGATGGATAGAATCAATGATGATCAATGTCAATTGACACCATTAAGGTAGAATTATATTGATTGACATTATCAAACATAATCATGGAGATGTTTATGAGGGATTTGGATTCCATCCGGATTCAAGTTATGAGGATTTTAAGGATCCTCACATTTTAATCGTTTATCGTACATTATGCGGTTAGAAATCATTTTAAATTTATTTATTTAAAATTAACATAAATAGTATCTAACAAAAACTAACCGCACAATGTACAATGAACGGTCATGATGTGAGGATCCCTAGGATTCCCACAAAGAGGATCTGGAGAGAATCCTCATCCGTTTATGAGCCTTATAAATACAAGCAAGTAGAAGAGAAACTGACGCTCAAACACAAGAGATTTTTCAGTGTGACATGAACACGAAGTGGTACACCACATGTCACTATATAAATGATGAGATATGTGTGTTAAAAGGTTAATAATTTAAAAAATAAAATTTCTCACCACTTATATAAAAATACATGGTGTACCACCCGTGTTCGGGTCACAATAAAAAATTTCTCTTCAAAGACAAACAATTACATCGCTCAATTCAAACTACCTATAAAGATGCAAAAGCAACTTGCCCTAACCAGGGTAAACTAACAAAATCATAAGTTGGCCTTATTTTTCTCGTAAATTATGTGATATCATATGCACACTTGCACCAAGAAATAAAAGATAGAGTGTCCAATTCGCGTTTATCTTTCCATCGTGGAGACATGTAAACAAAGATGTATCATACTTAATAGTTAACACCGCTTTAACTAAATCATACGAATTAATGCAATAACAGCTCTAAAAGGTGCTAGGTGCTAGTTGGGCAGCATGCATAGATGCTTAGGTGTTTAAGAGGGAGCTTAGGCCTTTTTTTTTTTTAATAAAATTTGTTATATAACAAATAAATAAATATCTACTTATACTAAAAAATACATGTACATTATAAAGTATTAGAACATATTAAAAACATAAAAAACAAACATATAACGAATGTTTATCCAAGTATTAAACAACTCGCTTTTTCTAGAATAAATAAATTGAAAAATAAAAATTATCTATTTTCTGCTTAAATGAGATTTACGGCTAAACAGGTCTAGTTTAGCACCTAGGCAGATTTAGATATCATTTCTTAATTTTCAAACTTGGGAATTAATCAAACATGTGGCCGGTTGCCATTTTAAAACCGTTAGAAAGCCATATAAAAAAATTAAAAAAAAAAAAAAATTAGAACGGTCAGAAATATTGGTAGCCACTGGATCATGCACGCATTGCTTACCATGCAGACACTCCAGTGTCTCTACAGCCACAAGACATAACCTGGAGATCCCCGTTCCAATCCAATAATTTGGCTTTTTTTCTTCTTCTCCATTAATCTTTGGTGAGGGTTTTAGGAGGTTTTCTGAAATATTCAAGTGGAGAAAAGGAGGAGGAGGAGGATTAATTTATTGGAGATGAAAATTCAGTGTGATGCGTGCGAGAAGGCTCCGGCGACGGTGATTTGTTGTGCCGACGAGGCGGTGCTGTGTGCCAAATGTGACGTGGAAGTACATGCAGCGAATAAGCTTGCAAGCAAGCACCAGAGGCTTCTCCTTGAGTGCCTCTCGAAGTCAAACAAACTCCCTACATGTGATATATGCCAAGTAATTTCTTTTCTTTCACTTAATTCCCCACTTTCTTTTCGTATGTATGTATATGTGTATGTATGTATGTATATATGTATGTATGTATGTATATTGAGTACGCATATTCCAACTTCCAATTTTGATTTTTCCTTTTCTGTTGGATTTTGTTTACCTTTCCAAATTCATTCATTCAAGTAAATATATTATTTTGTTATAAATAGGTAAAAGTTAGAGAGATAATCTTTACTAGTAACAAGAGCGAAGCATGGGTAAAATATCACACTCTAACTATAATTCAAGGGTATGACAAATAAAAGAGGAAGGAATAGATACTGATGTTAATGATCTTTCCCTCTTGTTTTCTGTGTGTTTTGATAGCAGTCTGAGTGCTCTATTTATAGAGCAACTCCATACGAACATATTCTTACATTTTGAAATTTACATAACATGACTTTGAAAATACGATCACCTTTATTTCCAAAGTCTACATCACTTTGTGTGGGTATTGAAAAAACTATGTGGGCATTCATTAAGCTGTCAACGGTTTCAACATTGTCAATGTTTTCAACATATTTCTATGTGCTCAATTGTAATAATTTTCACTAATATAGGCGGAGTTAAATTGGTTAGAGCAATGTGCTCTATCTTCTGCATTCATGTCCGAATCCTTTTGTCTTTAGTTTATATAAATTTACCGTAAATTATCTTATGGTTTGTAATAAAAAAAAATTAATTAAAAAAATTGTAGTAGTGCTAGTAGTCTTAGATTAGGTTCTTCAAAAGCAAATCTTACCCAAAACCAAGTGAAAACATCAATAGAGAGGCTGTTAAAGAAGATATCTTGGATTAGTATAGTGAATCTTGTAAATCTGTACTTAGCCTTTACTTACCTGATAAGGTTTGACTTCCTTGTTTCTAGGCATTAGTTTAGGATTAGGGTTGTGTCTTTCGTATATATATTGTAACCCTAGCCTTTGGTATTATTATGAAAAGCATTCTGCAATATCACGTTTATTTATATGGTATCAAGAGCGATCGATCTAGGAAAACCTCGACAAATATTAAACCCTAGCAACCATAGCCATGGGTGAAAAACCAGAACAGTCAACCTCCTCAGGCATGACTTTGCATCAGAAGTGGGAACACCCTAATCATCCACTTTATCTTCATCACTCGGATCAGCCTGGCGCCATTCTTGTACCGCAACCACTCGTGGAAGACAACTATGGCACATGGGCGCAATCCATGACCATGGCCTTGATGGTTAAAAACAAGTTAGGGCTGGTTGATGGAACAATCGCGAAGCCAACTGATGCACAGGTTGAAGAGTTACAGCAATGGAACCGGTGCAATAATCTGGTGAAAACATGGTTGCTCGGCTCCATGTCAAAAGAAATCTCAGGAAGTGTCATACACTGCAAGGATGCGCGGCAGATGTGGCTTGACTTGCAAGAAAGGTTTTCTCATGTGAACATCGTTCAACTGTTTCACATAGAAAACGAAATCCATAATTGTGTGCAAAGCAACATGACGGTGAGTTCTTACTTCACAAAACTCAAGAGTCTTTGGGATGAACGTGATACCTTATGTTCAATCCCGACATGCCATTGTGAAGCAAGGAACGAGATAACATCATATGTTGAGACTCAGAAAACAATGAAATTCCTTATGGGCTTACGTGACTCATATGCTACAGTTCGTAGCAACATCCTCTTGCTGGATCCATTGCCAACTGTTAACAAAGCATATGCACTTGTTCTTCGTCATGAGAAACAAGTTGAAGTATCAAACGGAAAGGGCAGCACCGTGCAGCCTGAAGCTGCTGTGTTTGCAGTGAGGGGCGCTGGTCGAGAACCCGAGACAGAAGATGGTAGTCAGCGATGCTCCAAATGCAATAAGACCAATCATAGCACCAAGAATTGTCGTGCTCATCTCAAGTGCACGTTTTGCGGTTGGAAAGGACACACTTTTGACTCTTGCCGCAAAAGAAAAGCAGCTGCTGAGACTGAACAAAATCGCCCTTTCAAGGGCAACCAAGTCACGAGTCGTGACAAGAAGGATGCAATGCCCAATTTTCCTTTTTCTCCAGAGGACTGCAAGCAGATTCTTCAGCTTTTGAACAAAAGCAAATCCTCCTTTGCTAATCAAGTGGGTAACTCTTCGAATCATGAAGAACTCTCAGGTAAAGCATTTTCTTTCATGCGTAATGGAAGGCAAGTTATTTGGATTTTGGACAGTGGCGCCACCGACCACATCGTATGCAGTCCTGAGTTTCTCACGTCCTCAAAACGTGTTGAAAATCATAATGTTGAATTACCAAATGGTTCCCTTGCTAATGTAACCCATGTCGGCCAAGTGGTTTTCTTTCCCAACTTTATCCTTGACAATGTTTTATGCGTACCATTGTTTAGGATAAATCTCATATCTATTAGCAAGTTAGCTTACGATTCCCTTTACATCACCATTTTTCTCAAACAATCTTGTGTCATACAGGACCTACGTTCGGGGAAGATGATTGGGACGGGAATTGAACGGGAGGGACTCTACCATCTCGACCCACCAAGGAAGGGATCCTGCAACACCACCACCACTATAAGTTCTCCTTTTTGGCACCAACGCCTTGGGCATCCATCACCTAAAGTGTCCTCGTTACTTCCCTTTATGCACAATAAGTCATGTGATTCCAATACATGTTTAATTTGCCCATTGGCTAAACAAACCAGATTGTCCTTTCCCTTGAGTTCTATATCTACTCGTTCATGTTTTGAATTAATACATATTGACATTTGGGGGGGTTATCAAGTTCCTTCCCTCTCAGGTGCCAAATATTTTCTTACCATTGTTGATGATTACACACGGTGCACCTGGGTTTATTTGATGAAACAAAAATCTGACACACAAGATATTCTTGTTCAATTTATACACATGGTTGAGAATCAATTCAATACAACAGTTAAGGTGATTCGAAGTGATAATGGTCCCGAGTTCAAACTTGTCACCTTTTATCAACTCAAAGGGATCCTGCATCAAACCAGTTGTGTCAACACACCACAACAAAATGGTGTTGCTGAACGCAAACATCGTCACCTGTTAAATGTTGCTCGAGCCCTTCTTTTTCAAGCCAACCTTCCTAAACATTTTTGGGGGGATGCTATTCTCACTTCGGCCTATCTTATCAATCGTACACCCACACCACTTCTCCAAGGGCAAACACCATACCACAAGTTGTTTCACAAGGCACCTCATTACATGCATTTACGTGTCTTTGGATGCTTATGTTTTGCATCAACCCATGCACAAAAACCCTCTAAATTTGATCCCCGTGCACGCCGGTGCATTTTTGTTGGGTATCCTTATGGCCAGAAGGGTTACCGCTTGTTTGACCTTACACTTAACAAGTTTTTTGTGTCACGGGATGTCCTCTTTTTCGAAGACCATTTTCCCTACAACTTACCCCACCCTTCCGCTGCTCCCCCTCCCACTCCTCCTTCCCTTCCCGTAGCACCCTACTCGCCATCCTTTGATCCAGTCCCTATAATTCCCATAGAACCTCCCATCGCTTCCCCCCTCTGACATCGCTCTCCCTGTTGAGCCTACTTCCCCTTCCTTACTTTCTCCACCCCCATCCCCTCCGTCTTCATCTCCTGCTGCACCACCGCCACCCCGGCGTGGCACACGTCCTACCAGACCATCCTCTTTCTTGCAGGATTTCCATGTTGAGACCTCTCTCCCGTCCCGACTTGCTCCTTCCTCGAATATGGTTCAGGTATCAGGTACTGCTCACCCTCTGTCTCATTACTTATCTTACAATCGCCTCTCCCCTATGCATAAGCATTTTGTTACTAACGTCACCACCATCCGAGAACCCACCACCTTCCTGCAGGCTGTCCAACATCCACAATGGCGTGATGCCATGCACCACGAACTTGCTGCCCTTCAGGCAAACCATACTTGGTCCCTTGTTCCACTTCCTCCTCACAAAAAGCCTATTGGCTGCAAATGGGTGTACAAGGTTAAGCTTAAACCTGATGGGACCATCGAACGTTACAAAGCTCGGTTGGTTGCCAAGGGCTATAGTCAAATCGAAGGGGTCGACTATCGTGAAACCTTTGCTCCAGTTGCCAAGTTAACCACTGTCCGTGTACTCCTTAGTGTTGCTGCTGTGCGTCATTGGCATTTACATCAACTCGATGTCAACAACGCCTTCTTGCATGGCGATCTAGATGAGGAAGTGTACATGAATTTACCTCCTGGCTTTGGACGAAAAGGGGAGACTCGTGTTTGCAAGCTACATAAATCCTTATATGGTTTAAAACAAGCCTCAAGACAATGGTTCATTAAACTTTCCACTGCTCTCAAGGCTGCTGGATTTCATCAATCGTGTTCTGACTATTCATTGTTCGTCCGAAGTCAGCACGGTAACTTCATTGCTTTATTGGTATATGTTGATGATGTAATTTTAGCAGGAAATAATCTACAAGAAATTGAAGCCACGAAGCAGTCCCTCTCACAACAATTCAAATTAAAGGATTTGGGACAACTCAAGTATTTCTTGGGGTTAGAGGTTGCACGATCTACAAATGGCATCACCTTATGTCAACGCAAATATGCATTGGATATCTTAGATGATGCGGGATTTTTGGGTGCTAAACCTTCACGGTTTCCTGTAGAATCAAATGTTTCTCTTACACAGATGGAAGGAGAACTTCTTATTGATGCTTCATCATATAGAAGACTTGTGGGTAGGTTGATCTACCTAACCATAACCAGGCCGGACTTAGCTTATGCTGTGCACATGTTAAGCCAGTTTATGGACAAGCCTAGACAACCACACCTTGAGGCAGCACACAAAGTTCTCAGATACATCAAGAGTTCACCGGGACAAGGTATATTGCTGCCATCGAAGGGATCCTTGCAGTTAAGTGCATTCTGTGACGCTGATTGGGCCAGGTGCAAGGACACAAGAAGATCAATAACAGGTTATTACATTCAACTGGGTCAAGCACCGATATCCTGGAAAACAAAGAAGCAAACTACTGTCTCTCGTTCCAGTGCTGAAGCCGAGTACCGTTCCATGGCAGCCACATGTTGTGAGATCACGTGGTTAAAGAACATTTTGAGAGATTTAAAGGTGAGTCATTCACAACCAGTCATGTTATTCTGTGATAACCAAGCAGCCATATACATTGCTTCAAATCCGGTATTTCATGAAAGGACAAAGCACATAGAGATTGATTGTCATTTGGTAAGAGAGAAGATTCAAGAAGGAATGATTCGTACGGCATACATACGAACAAGTGATCAACCAGCAGACATCTTCACCAAACCGTTGAATTCTACACAGTTTGAAACATTGCTCAGCAAGTTGGGTGTTATTAACATACACTCCAACTTGAGGGGGAGTGTTAAAGAAGATATCTTGGATTAGTATAGTGAATCTTGTAAATCTGTACTTAGCCTTTACTTACCTGATAAGGTTTGACTTCCTTGTTTCTAGGCATTAGTTTAGGATTAGGGTTGTGTCTTTCGTATATATATTGTAACCCTAGCCTTCGGTATTATTATGAAAAGCATTCTGCAATATCACGTTTATTTATAGAGGCACAAGCACTGGGTGTCAGTGTCAAGATTTAATTAGTATACTATGTCCAGTGTGGATAAATTATATTGAGTGACGTTGAACGCATGATTCGAAGCTGAGTCTGGCGTGAATGAATTGTCTGCTCTGATACTATGTCATAGTTGTAGCTAGCATCGTATATGCGAGTGAGGTTTCAATATCTGTGTTAATTAACGTCGCTAAATGATCTCACAAGTTTGACAAGTTCTCTTATAGTGCCTCAAATTTCAGTCTCGCTTTGTTTCTTTGTTTCTCTCTCACAAACATCTTGTGATTCCCAGGACAAGGCAGCTTTTATATTCTGTGTCGAAGACAGAGCCCTCGTTTGTCAGGATTGCGATGAATCGATTCATTCGGCAAATAGCCGCTCTGCGAACCACCAGAGGTTCCTCGCCACTGGAATCCGAGTGGCATTGAGCACCGGCTGTTCTAATGACACTGAACCGAGTAGCTTGGAGCCACCCAGTGGTCACAGCTCACACAAGATCGTTTCGACAAAAATTCCAACACCACAGGCTTCTGGTATCTCATCCCCTTGGGGTGTTGATGACTTGCTGCAGTTATCAGAATTTGAATCTTCCGACAAGGTTCGAAATATCCCTCTGTGTATTTGCTTGTTATCTAGTTGTACACGCGCAAAAAGCGCCCACGCGTAAGGATGCTCACATTCTAACAGAGATGTCATTTGCATTTTCTTTCAGCAGAAAGAGTTGTTTGAGTTTGGTGAACTTGAATGGATAGGCGACATGGGTGTTTTCGGCGAAGAGCAGTTTCCTCAAAAAGCCATGGCAGCAGTAGCTGAAGTTCCTAAGCTTCCGGTGTCACAGTCAACCAATTTCACCTCGTATAGTCCCGCCAAATTGAACAATTCGTACAAGAAGCCTAGGATCGAAATGTTGGAGGACGACGATGATCACTTCACCGTCCCTGATCTTGGCTGATTTTAGACATGTATCAACTTCATGGTATTAGTTGACAGGTTGAATTATATACATGTTCATACTAAGTACCTACCTGTACGTATTTATGGATTTATATAAGAACGTATACAGCATTTTCGGGATTTACCGTTTTATTTGATACATTAAAGCATGTAATGTCGCCTACTTGGTGATAAGACAATCCACAGGGACATGCCTGTTATTTTACTTCATTTCTATGCAAGGTGAAACTGTTGTGTACGTTGCATTACTTGCCGGTATTCCGGGCAAACTAAAGAAATGAGTTCAGTTGCTCGAAGTTCTTGGCGACATTACCAGAGGATTGGATGACTTTCGGCAGAATTCCTGCAAGCATCGGTGGATTCCGAAGCTTGACCTTCTAAAGCGTGTCCAGCGATGGATTCACCAGCAGAGTCCTTGACCAGGACTACTGGGGCTCACCAAATGTTCCACTTAAGTTTGCCAACACTAATACTGAGGCAATATTTAACCATTGAACAGGCTCAGACACCTGAAGTTGCTCGATGAGCAATAACAGGCTTTCCCTCGAAAACGATTCAACATAGCATTCGATTAACCCCTTCACGCGAAGTTCAAGAAATTTCATTCCTTTCTAGTCAGACATTTTTCATTCCTTGTTGGAAGTTTCCCCTTAGCGGATTAGGTTTGGGTGACCCGTTAAGTTAACAGGTCGGGTTGAACCCGACCCAAACCCAGTAAACCCGACCTGTTTACAGGTCTACCAACAAGGACAGACAAGGGTTAACTTTAAATAATAATTTTTCGGTGACAAATTTTCAAGTCAGATTACTGCTTTTGATTACAATTACTTGATAATCCCAGCACTAAAAGCACTCAACAGAAATTTCTAACAATTCTTAAATCTGGGAGCAAAAGTCGTGGCCCGAAACTGTATACAAGATTTCGGGAAATTCTATAAACAAGAAGTGGTGCTAACTCGTACAAAATAAGCTGAATTATATGAGCCAATTAACAGTAACGTTGCCAAGCCATGTAAACAGAGGTAACTGAGCCAAAGCAATAAACAGCAACAGGTAATGGTGTTTGCTTGAATCATAACTCCTCACCTCGGCGAATAGAACTCTCTTCATTGTCTTCACCAAGAAGACTCCCATGCATAAACACGTCCAAGGCATCAAAAAGTAGTATGAGTAGCTCAACATAATCCGTCCAAGTACAGCAAAGCACAACCCCGTGAAAGCATACCCAGCATATGCCACCATGTCCAGCAACGGTGCCTCACCACCGCCCAATGAAAGCAATGATACTTTCAGTAGTGCAACTTGCATAAACCAGCCAAGCAAGCCCTTGATAAACAACCAGTTTAGAGCTTCAGGGCTAAACCTGGTAGGAAATTAACAAAAACAGTTTTAAGATATCACAAGTGCCAAGAGATAACTGACGTTAACAGACTGAATTACCAAAATCATAAATAATAAATACAAAACAAAAACCACACCCCTTAAAGAAAATCTCAAAATGGAACTGTGATGCAGTTCATGAAGAGCTGAGGGAGCGACCAATCAACAATTTAAAAAAAAAAAAAAAGACTGATTATATTTTTTGAGGTTGAGAAAAGATCCAATAGCTAATTGTTTCACATTGATGCCCAAGTGAAAGATATTTCTTTGACTTCGAGAGTTAAAAAACCTAGAATACTCCTTCAAATCAATATACATTTGCTACAGCAAGAAAACGAAAAAGAAAGACGAAGGAAACAGGAAACTAAAGCATTGAGAGGGGTCCTGCTTTCTCTAACACAACAGTTAAAGTTGGCCACAGATTAACCAGTAAAAGAACAGTACGGCCAGCTAAAAGAGTGGTCTCATCTGCAGCATACTTTTTGGTCAGATGTAATACTCCAACTTACAAGTCACAGCTATAATCTAGAAATCAGGGTTTAGGGTTAAGAAACTAAAAGACAATGTGTTCAGAGCTTCACATTTCAGTCTTGACCTAACTTATTTAGGAGTTATATTGTACCAAGCCCCAGGAAACATTTAATAAAGAGATATTATTGTTATCTACTTTTACTTTTTTGTTTGGCAATGGCCTCCCAGAACCTATTTAAGAGGTTAAAACAATTGTACTATCGTTATCGTTATAGTAACCGTTGGCATGGATATAATTCTGAGATGAAGGAAGATCCTCAACTAGAGAAAAGCTAAATGGCTAGACTATACAAACTAAAGGACCAAATATATCTGTGCTAAATAGAACCATTTTTTTCCAAACAGGGAGACGAAAGTAGAAAACTAATAGTAGGACACAGAATTAGAAAAAGAGGAAATAACTGCAAAAGAAAAGAATGCGTAGCTCACTTCTGCGGTTAAAAGAAAACCCAATCTTCATTCTTATAGCAAATGGTTTCCCATACAGCACAACCCGAACAAAAGAGAAAACTGCTTAGAGTACATGTAGAAATTTCATCAACTTACTTTCCTTGAAGACCCAATGAGAAGCCAGCCAGAACCACATAGGTACCAAATGCCATAAATGGAATGTATAGGTCTGGTGCATTTATGTCATAAATTGGGGGTTTATAAGAAAGCCTGCCTCCTACTGGCTCCGTTATTCTGGTCCAATGACCCTGAAACATGAGAGGGAAGGGCAAGGGTAAGTTCTGTAGCAGGATAAATTCATTCCACAAGAAAAACCAAAATGTTAGCACTTACCCTGTGGAGAAACGGAAATAGAACAACCTTCAATTTGTTCCTCACATACTGGTCATTCACTTGGAAGTAGTATTGTGGATCAGAGAAATACCTACTGATCTACTCATTTCAACCAAAAAAAATATCAGAATAGAACTCAATTACCTTGAATTAAGTACAAACTGATAGGCACGTCTAACATCTAAAGAGTACTAGAAGTTAAAAGGGAAAATCTAGTCATTTGAAATTGAAGACAATCTTACAAGGCGATTACTGTGTTCAAAGCAGTTTATATAGTTTAACTGAGTTAGAGATCAATGCAAAATGTTTTAGGTAGCATAATAAGATGAAGGCATCTATGGAATTGAAGTACAAAAAAAAAAAAAAAAAAAACAAATCCTAATTTGTGCATCAGACCATATGTACAAATACAATACACCGATCTAATTAATAGATCCGCAACCTTTCGCTTGATGAAGAGCACCAGAGGACAAACAAAGAGACAAAGAAGTTGCACAACCAGAAATGTCAAACTTCATTTATATCAAGCATCACTGAAACCAAATTCTCCAAAAAAATCACAAACAATTAAAAGCATGCTAATTTGATAACAATTAATAAACCTTCGGGGAAAAATGATTCATGAAGCCCCTTAAACATGCTATTTGCTAACATTAAAATCATCCAAACTTTGATATAATTTACAAAAGTTAACACTTGATTCAAAAACTTTACAATTTGATCCTAAAATCTTTATCTTTTAGAGTTAAGCAAGATCATAGATCCATAATGGAATAGTTGGGGGCTACTTACATTGCTTTGTACATACTCAGAGCTTGATCCTAAAATCTTCTCTCCATATGCACCCAATCCACCACGGATTAATCCGGAACTAGCACCGTACAACGAATTCCCAAACGGATTCATCTGCGGGGATGCCGTCGGCATTGCCGCCCCAGGCTGGCTTCCCACATTACTGTACATTTCTGCAGTTAAACACACACAGAAAGGGGGGGATGAAAATTCATTGGAGATGATTAGATTTAATTGAAGTCACCCGACGGCGTTACTAATTCTGACTCACACTACTTGGACGAAATATATGGTGCTTGGTAAGATTTGTATAATACCTGAATCTGGAGGTTGAGGGGGTGGCGACGCTGGACCGAGAGAAAGAGTCTACGGAGGAGACGGAAGCCTCGGGTGTGTCACGAGGGATGAGATGGGAGGCTGGAGGTTGAGGCAGCGTCGATTTCTGCCCCGGATTGGCAGTGTCGGCGTCAGATTTGGGAGAGAACGGGAAGGATACTAGAGGAATGCCTGTACTTCAAGCGATCTCTCTCAGTTTTATTATTATTACTTTTTCTTTTTCTTTTTTTTTAATTTTGTGCGTGTGTCTGAACTTTCATCACCCGGTCAATAGGGAATTATCATGTGGCAATCATCATTTTTTTACTTTTTACATACTTTTTAAATTTCCGATCATCAGGTTAAATGATTTGAAAAAAAAAAAAAATCTAACGCCAAAAATTAATAAAGCATGCGAAAGAAGTTAAAAATGTTGTATGGATATCACATTTTTAACGTGAAAAGCTTGCGGTACACAAAAAATTGGCTTGGGTCGCTACTCCTCAGGCCCAGGCCGGCCCGACCCAATTTACAGGCCCGTATGCAATCCCCATCAATTTGTCTAATGGAGCAACAACACCCACCTCCAACTTACATACAAAATCTAGTTGTTTAAATTGCTTTAGGCTTCCTTTTGTCCATTAATCGTATAAAGGCTCTAACATCGAGTGATTGTAATGTAAAAGTTTTAAAAATAAATTAGACGAAAATAAAATTGAAAAAATTAAAATAAACTATCAATTTTTTTCATTTATAATTATTGTACCAACAACATTACAAACTACAAATTTGTTCACCACATCAATTATGAATTTAAAAAAAAATTAACATGAACTATAATCTATTATGAATTTAAATTCTTCATCCAATACACATCATTATTAACATTCTATATGATTAATTTAGACTAAAATAATAAAAAGCTTACTTAAATTTAGAAATTAGGGGGTTAAGTGGCCATAAAGGCTGGAGAGAAGTGAACCAGGTGGTGGTCGTGAAGAGGAGACAGGTGAAGGCGTAAAGCAGCTGGTGGTGGCTTGGGAATCAGTTAGGTGAGGTTAGAGGGAAAATTTGGGGATCACCCAATTGGAGAAACTGAATGCCAAATAAATTGGGTGGATATCTCAGATAGGAGGAAAGATAATAGACTCTTTTTATTTTTTTTTAATTAAAAACGGTCTCTCTCATGTGGTTTAATAAGAAGACGTGCTTTCAATTATTTTGTTTTAATGGCTTGGCTCAAAATGGCGTTGTTTGGCAAAGTCTTTTGAAAAAATAGAATAGTCTTCTTCTCCTTTGTTAATTATTTGCAAAACCTGTAACTACCGGTCCGCCGTTACACTCTTCTCCTTCACTACATGCCCTAATTTAGGTGGTCCTGAGAGGTCCTCACAGTCACTTATTTGGGCTTCTAAGTGGTCTCAGGACCACCCAAGTCCCTTAATGCATCCATCACTGCTACTACTAATGCTAATAATATGTTGTCACTTGTCATCCTATATTTCAATATTACTACAAGACATCGCGTTATTGGTTTAAGAAACTATTAATTTTAATGTCTCCATATGCTCTATTATTATACACTACTATCATAATATCCTCTCTGGTGTCATGGAAATCTTGTTTATTCTTTAAGAAATTTTTTTCTCACCACCTTCAACTGGTGTTAATGCTCATTACTTTTCTGATAGTCGTAAGATGAGATTGTTTTATTTCATCTACTACGAACAAGTCTTAAAATTTTTATTCATCTAATAAAAATTAATTTGGCATGAGAATTGTGACCACTTCAAGGCGGTGAAAATAATTTTTTCTTTCTGACAAAAAAAAAAAATTTGACGCTTGTGAGGAGAATTTTTTTTATTGTAATCAGAACACAGATGGTACACTACGTGTTTTTATATAAGTGATGGACAATTTTATTAAGTTATTAACTTTTAACACATATATCCCACCATTTGTATAATGACACGTGGTGTGCCACTCTGTGTTCCGATTACATTGAAAAATCTCTCTAAATAGAATTTTTAATGTTAAACGTGTTAAGACCAAACCCAACCTTAGGCTAAATGCTATTTTTTAGGTTTTATTCCACCCCACCCAACAAAAAAAAAAAAAAAAACACCCAACCCAACCTCATGCTAAATGTGTGGGCTAAAAGCTAAAACTCAAAAGAAAGCTAAATACCACCCAGGATTTAGCCCATATGCGCATGGACTCGCCCAAACTGATGCGTTACGAATGTGACACACAAATTAAACCCTATTTGTGACAATTGTAGTAATGATGTAAGTAGGGATCGTTCTAACCGGGGATTAATTAGGGGTGCTAAACACTTTAAACTGACTCAAATAAATAAAACTAACCTTTAAAACACTTAACTCACTTAACAAAAACTCAAAATAAGTCCACAAGACTCCAAATACTTAAAAACACAAAATAAGATAGATTGTAATGACTAAGACTAAACAAAATGTGGGGGGATTGAGGTTTTGACGAAATTAAACTAAAATGCACAGATTGTAATTAAGGGCAGAATGTAAATATGAATGTGATGAAAGTATGGATGAATGCTAGCTAGAAGGTTCTTCTCCACACATGTTACAGTTGTATACAAGATGATTTTCGGTTGGTCTTTCGATGAATTATAAAACTCAACACCCCGGGTTAATTAGGTCCGCTTAAATTAACCGTCAAGTTCTCTTTAAGTTAATGAATTGGATGGGTTAGCGCAACGCAATTCACAACATTCTCCAAAAGTCCTTTACGTGAAAAGCACAATAAAGATACAATCAAAGATCATTAAGCATCATGAAAACTGTAAGTGTTGACGAGGCATTCGTTACTATGATGAGCATGAAACTAGTGCCAAGAATTCATTTAACGCGATTGTTTATAAGCAAACTCCACTACTTGTGAATATAAGTTCATAACTATTAGGTGAAACTCACTTATATTCTAGCGTCATATTCATGTATGAAAATTAAGTGTGCACTCTCAATAAACATACATAAATAAGTTATCAATCAAACAGTTAAACAAATTAAATCCACAACTCATGAAATTCCAACCAAAGGTAATCAATTCATATTGCAAGCATAAACATGGTTTCGAATCACCCCCTAGCTAATGGGGGGTTTAGTTCCTCATACATACAAGACAAAGATAAGTAAATTTAACCATTGAAATCAAGGAGAGAAAACACCTAAAAATTCCAACAACTCAAACTTGAATTGTATGAACGTTTAGGCCCTCTTCTCCTCCTCTTTGTTGTGGCACAAGGTCTAAGGATAGGTTTTGGGGTGGTGTTTGTATGTGGAATGGAGTGGGGAATGGTTGTGTAGTGTTTTGGAGGGATGGGGAGTGGTGGAAATGGCAGAGGAGGTGCTGGAAATGGAAGGGGAGATGCTGGAAATGGGTGCTGTTTTGCACGGCAAACAAGGGTTGTGACTGGAATGGAATTGTTTTGCACGGCTAGGGATGTTTTTTTCTTGGTGTGAAGTGTGTATGGTTTTTATAGGGAGAGAATGGATGGGAGAGCATGTGAATGACAGCTAGGAGGGAATGATTAAAGAGGGAATGCATGTGGAAGTGTGGCTGATTGTTTTATGAAGGGGGAAAGCTGGAAATGGGATGGGAGTGCACGGCCAGGTGTGGATGGAGTGCTGGAAATGAATGTGAAAGCATGTGAGTGACAGCTAGGGTGAATGATGATGAATGCATGTGGATTAAAGAGGGAATATGGAAGAGAATGTGCTGCAATGATGAAGTGGGAAGCTGGAAATGCAAAGGGGAATGCACGGCTTTGATGGATTGATTGCTAGAATGGAGGTTTTGCACGGCTCAAAGGATTGTTTAATTGGGCTAGGCCCTTTGTTTTATGTCCTAAAGTGCATACAAGGCCTTCAATTTCGTCCAACACTTTGGCTCCAAGCATAAGCTATCCATCCTTAGCCCAAAAGTGTTCCAAAAGGCTCCAAAATGCACTTCTTTGCTCCTTTAGCCCTTAGAACCTGAAAACATACGAAAATAACTTAAAAGACTTAAAGAACTAAGAAATAACAACGTAAATGCACAAGAACAAGCCAACTAAGTTGCCTAAATATGCTCCTATCAAATTCCCCCACACTTAGCTTTTGCTAGTCCTCGAGCAAAACAGAAAAACAAAACAAAACCTAAACCTTCCAACAATGGTCTCAGGGATTCTTAATGCACATGACATGTTTAAGAACATTACTCACATAGATTTTAGTCATTCTTATGCTTAGGCACATACGTAATCATAATCACTCCTTACTAGTTCTCATTTAATCAATTTAAAACAACGTTTGAATGTAGTAACATGCCTTAGAGAAATCACTTAATTCCTTACAAGATACTCTCTTATTTTCACACAGACTTTCTGATTACACACCCTACACTAAGTATATGTGAGAAGATTGATGTAAATATGAAACTAAACACTCACATATGTTTATAACAAGGAAAGCACTTTTCTGGAATGTATATGAATAAGATCTCATGAAAGGAATGCTACCAATTAGATGCGAGAACCAGGGACACCATATGCTTACATCAATTCCAAACTCCACATTATTGAAAACATAATGATCAAGATTGAAGCATAAGGATTGTAACGGGGTAAGGGTGATTGGCTAATAATGAAAGGTAAGGATAACAAACGTTCTTTAAGCAATAGCAAGCAAAGTAATGAAATTTGACACTTAGAATCACTTATGATTGCAGAAACTCACTTAGACACAGAAGGGGAAAATTCACACAACTCTTAGGGCCATATTCAACGTTTTGGACCCTTTCTTCAACTACCACAAACATGTGAGCTTATTTTCACTTATTTCATCCTCTTTTTCTCTCTTTTCACAACTTTTTCTTTTCTTTTTCTTTTTCCACGAATATTTTTTTTTTTCATGCCTTATTTCTTTTCGTGGCATATCAACACACACGCACAAATTCCCCCACACTTGTTGTTTTGCATATTCGAAAGGATTCCCTCTAAGTCATGCTTACTATGCTTCAAGAACAAGGGTATGGGTGGTCCTAATCTAGGCTAGGTGGGGATGATATGGGTAAACAAAGAACAAAGGCTAACAATGGCTCAATGGGGGTTATGACCTACAATAAATATATAGTGCATGGGTTGGCTGTTTGGTTGATGGCTTCATTACACACTTCATCTTGATATATA